TTTGGACGCCCGGAATGGGTACGGACAGAATGGGTGCAATGCCCAACAACAGAGGTTGTGCCAAACCATCAGCGGCCGCTGTTGGGCAAGCGGCCTTCTGTCTCAAATGGACACAGGCCGCGGCGGCGCGGACAGCGAGTCCTGTTCAAAATGAACAGGAACTGCTGTTGGGCATCGTACCCATTCTTTCCGTATCCGTTCCGTTCGTGCCGACTGATGCAGGATGCTCCTCGATGCGCCTCGCCCCCCCGAAGATGCACACGTCCGAGCGATGCATGCCCAGACGTGGGCGAACACGTGGAGCCAGCACGCAGCGTGGGAGCGAGGATGTTTTGAACACGGCACGTGCTGCGTCTCGAGGCGCGCGCGCGTCGGGGCAGCCAGCCTTGGGACCCGGCCCCGCTCGGGAGCTCCTCAGGACACTGGACACTCTAACAATACGATAATTGAATTAAAGATGCCGTTAACATGTGATAAAACATGTTCTAAACATGTTCCGAGCCTTTTCTCTTGACAGATTAAAACGTGTTTGAAACATCTTCTGGACATCTGGAAATTAGTTGGCAACATGCTTCCTCTCCATTAATTCGGCGGTGGACAAACCTCCCTGTAGTAAACTTCCCCTCAGTAAAAACGGCCTGGGACCGAACCCCGCGGACCTGGACCCGCAAAAATGACGGCCGCGACGCCCTCTCGCGAGCCAAAAACGGCCAATTCCCTAATCGACGTGTCAGGGTAGGAGGTCTGTCCACCCCCGAAATATCCTTTAGACATCTGGAACTTATTCGGCAGCATGCTTCCTCTCTTGGCGGCGCGCAGAAGGGGGTGGAGGGAGGGGGGAAGGCCTCTTAAAAGGAGGCTGCTTCTCAGAAGGCGGCGGCCTCACATCTATACACATGAGGCCCGCGCCTTCTAAGAAGCAGGGGTGCTTCTAAGAAGCCCTCCCCCCTCCCCCCACCCCCTCCCCCACCCCTCCCCCCCCCTCTGAGGCCCAAACGTGGCGGGCGCAAGCCTGGAAAATAACGGCCACGGCGCCCTCTCGAGAACCGAAAACGGACAATTCACTGATCGACGTGTCACTGTTGGGGGTCCTGTCCACCCCCGAACCATCTTTTAGACATCTGGAACTCATTTGGCATCATGCTTCCTCTCTTGGCGGCGCGCAGAAGGGGGGGGAGGGAGGGGGGAAGGCTCCTTGAAAAGGAGGCTGCTTCTCAGAAGGCGGCGGCCTCACATCTATACACAGAAGGCCGGCGCCTTCTGAGAAGCAGGGGTGCTTCCAAGAAGCCCTCCCCCCCTCCCCCCAGCCCCTCTTCGCGTGGCTTCCTCTCCACGGCACTGCCGAGCACCGACCGAGCTAGCAGTGAGGCTGGAGCTGGCCCGAGGAGGAGGAGGAGGAGGAGGAGGAGGAGGAGGAGGAGGAGGAGGTCTGTCCACCCCCGATCCTCCCCATTGATCGACCTCCACAAGCCCCCGAGAGCACCCGAGGCCCCTCGCGAAACGGGGGCGGGAGAGAGCCCGGGGCCCGCCTCCGCCCAGGAGCTCTCCCCGGGAGGAGCAGCACGGGCCCCGGAGCCCCCCCCCCCGCGCCCCGCGCGGGGGCTCCAGGGCAGACCAAGAGGCGCCGCTCCGGCGACTCCGCGATGTCTTTGTGCAGCGCTCCCCCACTCCCACGGGCTCCCCACTCCCCAGGGAAAATCCCCCAGGGAAAATCCCCCAGGGAAGCCCCCAGGAAGCCCCCAGGAAGCCCCCAGGAAGCCCCCAGGAAGCCCCCAGGGATCCCCCAGGAATCCCCCAGGAAGCCCCCAGGATCCCCCACTATCTTTCCCAGAGCTCCCCACTCCCACGGGCTGCCCACTCCCAGGGAAGCCCCCAGGATCCCCCATCTTTTTCCATGCCCGCATAGGGTTTTTCCATGCTCCCCACTCCCACGGGCTCCCCACTCCCCAGGGAAGCCCCCAGGAATCCCCCAGGAAGCCCCCAGGAAGCCCCCAGGAAGCCCCCAGGAATCCCCCAGGAAGCCCCCAGGAGTCCCCCAGGATCCCCCAGGATCCCCCAGGGATCCCCCAGGAATCCCCCAGGATCTCCCACTATCTTTCCCAGCGCTCCCCACTCCCACGGGCTCCCCACTCCCCAGGGAAGCCCCCAGGATCCCCCCTATCTTTTGTTCCATGCCTCCGTATAGGGTTTTTCCGGCCCCAGCCTTCCCAAGGATATTCCTGGAACCTCGTCTTCCCTCCCCCTCCCATAACCCATCTCTTCTTGGGAATCGACGTTTCTTTGTGTCCGAGTGTCTGGAGATGGGGGGGGTCTTGCCAGCCGCCCCCCCCAGCCTGCGACGACTCCATGACCAGGACAAAGCAGGACCAGCCCAAGCCGGGAACCTCTGAGATGCAGCGGTTCGGGGCTGCATCGGGCGCCGCGGCCGCTCCTGAGCCTTCTGGAACGTCCTGGAACTTTGGACGCCCGGAATGGGTACGGAAAGAACGGGCACAATGCCCAACAACAGATGTTGCCCCAGACCAGCAGCGGCCGCTGCTGGGCAGGCGGCCTCCTGCCTCGAACGGACACAGGCCGCGGCGGCGCGGACAGCGAGTCCTGTTCAAAAGGAACGGGAACTGCTGTTGGGCACTGTACCCATTCTTTCCGTACCCCTTCCCTCGCCTCATGGGGGAGGAGGAGGAGGAGGAGGAGGAGGAGGAGGAGGAGGAGGAGGAGGAGGAGGAGGAGGAGGAGGAGGAGGAGGAGGAGGAGGAGGAGGAGGAGGGAGGAGGAGGAGGAGGAGGAGGAGGAGGAGAGGGGAGGAGGAGGAGGAGGAGGAGGAGGAGGAGGAGGAGGAGGAGGAGGAGGAGGAGGAGGAGGAGGAGGAGGAGGAGGAGAGGAGGAGGAGGAGGAGGAGGAGGAGGAGGAGGAGGAGGAGGAGGAGGAGGAGGGGAGGAGGAGGAGGAGGAGGAGGAGGAGGAGGAGGAGGTATCCCTTCCCTCGCCCCGCCCGGCCCCACCCACTCGCCCTGCACCCCCCCATATGTGCCTCGCGCGCGGCGGCAATGATTGGGAGAGAGTGCGTTGCCGTCGACGCCAACGGGCAGGATCAGTCAGCATCGAACCGGGAGAAGCCGGATCGAATCTTTGGACGCCCGACATGGGCACTGAAAGAGTGGGTACGATGCCCAACAGCAGTTCCTGTTCATTCTGAACAGGGCTCGCTGTCCGCGCTGCCGCGGCCTGTGTCCGTTCGAGACGGGAGGCCGCCTGTCCAACAGCGGCCGCTGTTGGTTTGGGACAACATTTGTTGTTGGGCATCGTACCCATTCTTTCGGTACCCATTTCGGGTGTCCAAAGAATCGGAATGAGCGTCGGATCGGGCCGCATCGGCACAGAATCGAAATCGAATCGGATCGTGTGCGCCAGAAGGGGAACCGACGCCACGCAAACGTGGGGCCGCATCGAACCGTCGGAATCCCATCAGCCCTTTACGGCGTGCGTAGTGTACGCAGGGACAACAGAAAATCTCAAAATGTGCCTATCGCCTTAGCGCCGCGCACATCCGTCATAAACTTGAGGGATCCACGATCCCGGTAAGGAACTCGAGTCAAACTTTCGTCTGACGCGCGTGCGACACTTCCCTCTTGCTTGTCTGCAGCCGCTGCCGCCTGCACGTCCTGCTTACGTATCCTCCTCCTCCTCCTGCTCCTCCTGCTCCTGCTGCTCCTCCTGCTCCTCCGGCTCCAGCTCCTCGGTCGGTCGGTCGGTCGGTCGTGCGGCCAGAGGCCCGGAGCCGAAATCGAGAGACGGAGGGCAAGAAGACCACTGGGTGAAGAACAAAGCCGAGGCAGCAGCAGGCCCGAGAGTGGAACCAGCTGAGGCCGCGCCGGGGGCGCAGTCACCAGCACGGTGCAGGAATGCCCGAGGTCACTGCCTGAAAGGTGGGTGTGCGTTGTGAGGCAGGTCGCGGACAAGGGAGGGGGCATTGAATCGATGGGAGGGGGTTTGGGATTTCGGATTGGCTTCCGGAGGAGGAGGAGGAATGGATTTCGGATTGGATTTCGGATTGGATGGGGAGGGGAAGGGGCTTTGGATTTCGCCACGTGTTCGACGGCTTCCGGAGCCTGCCCCGGCGCCCCTCGAGTTGCCTGACTGGTCGATCGGCGAGGGCACGGTGCGGATGTCGCCGCCGAGCCCGAGGAGCCAACGGGAGCCTCCGAGAACGTCCCGGAGGTTGCCCGCCATGCGGCTCCCTGGAGGACTGGGCCGCGTCCCCAGCACCGGCATTTCATCCCGAATCGACTGTTGAAGGGAAGGGAAGGGAAGGGAACGGAGAGAGATGGAGGAGGAGATGGAGAAGGAGAAGGAGGAGGAGGAGGAGGAGGAAGGGAGGAGGAGGAGTGAGGAGGGTCCCGTGGCCTGGCTGGGAAGGGTTCGGATCTCGCCGCCGAGCGATGGGAGGAAGCGCCGGGCACGCCGCGCGGCAGCGCTCGCCGCTCTGGCCGCGCGCCGGCCCGCGGCGGGGCTGCCGGAGGTGCACCCGACCGAAGCGGCGCCGCGGCAGAACTTGCCAGCCTCGAACGTACCCCCATCCCTAAGATCGGGAGCGGCCAAGAGGGGGGTGTCCAAGAGGGGGGGGTGCAAATCATGACCGGCGGCATGTGCGCGGCCCAGCGGGGGGGGCAGGGACGTAATGAAACAAGAAAAGGCGCCATGAAATCTGGGGAAATATCATGGCCCCCGCCATGATATCCACCCCCCCCTAGTCATCACCCCCCTCTTTTCCGCCCCCGATAAGATTGACACGCCAGAAGGCGATGACAAAATCCTAGGGATACGCCCTCAAATAAAATAAGGGAACCCCTGAGAGCGGCCTCGTGACGAGAAGGTGCCCAGCACAGGGCTAGGGATAGGTCCACAGGCCGGTAGAAAGAGCGCCCGCCGCCGGCCGCGCCGAGCGCACACGGAGCGCGGGCGCCGAGGGCGCAGGACGCGCGGGGGGGGGCGGCGCGGGTCATGACGGTGCCCGACATGGTGCCGGGCGGCGGCAGGATGGTGAGGCCGGTGATGCGGACCTGCGGTGCGCAAGGAATGAAGGGGCCCCAGGACGCACAAAGAAATGCACACAAATAAAAAGAGTCTCCATATTTTTTCCCATCTGTTCTGGGTTTTGGGCTTCCCCCTCCACTTCCCATAGTTTCCTATACTTTCCTGGGAATCGACGATTCATTGTGTCTGTGTGTTTTTTCCCCTCCTGAAGGGAGGGAGCCAGAAGCCGCCCAGGTGGGCTCCACATGGAGTGCACACGGGGTCCGATGGCATGGCATCGGCGAGGTATCGGCCAGGCCGTCCACGCATCGTCGACGTCAGATTGGGAGGGCACGGGCTTCACAGCGAGCCGCATCGCTGTGCAGCGGCGCTGCGGAAGGATCCTCTGGTAACCACTGGGAGACTTGTAAAACTCGGGGGTGGACAGACCCCCTTTAGTAAAACGTGGTTTAGTGAAAACGACCTGAGGCCCAAACCTGGCGGGCGCAAGCCTGGAAAAATACGGCCACGGCGCCATCTCGAGAACCGAAAACGGACAATTCACTAATCGACGTGTCACTGTCGGGGGCTCTGTGAACCCCCGTAAAACCGGGTCCTTGAAGAAACGGGTCCTGGGATGGCTGCGCCGTTGCCAGTCCCCTCGGCCCTCCGCGGACCCCGCGGCCGTCAAACTTACGCCTCGAAGAATCCGAAGACCAACAACATATGCAGCGGGGACAGGGGTGCGACCACGGCCATGTGCACATTAATACATGCTTACCAGGGAACATGGCCTCCTGATCAAACATGTACTCGGCATTGAGATCATTGAAACAAGAACATGATTCCTGAATGCATTGTCCGGAATTCTGCCGGTCCGGGCTGTGTAGGGCTCCCCGTTCCCCCTTGTGGGACTCTTCTGCGATCCTCATTCACCACTGTCAGAGCCCACGAGCGAAACGCGATGAGGGAAGAACGACTCAGCATGCGGAGCTGGTCCGTGGGGAAGCCCCAGGGGGTCTGGGACCCGCTTCCCTCAGGATCCATTCCCGTTTCATTCATGGCGACTGCGATGAGGAGGGGGCCATGGCTGAGACCAAAGGGGCGCGGACGTGGGTGGCTGGCGCAAAAGAGGAGGGACAGCATTCAAACCGAACGCTCATGGGCAAGGTCCTACCTCTCCATCCTGCCTCCAAGCCCCATTTGGCGATGAGTCGGCGATCAAGTCTCGACGTGCCCCCCCCACTATTCGACGCCCCTGAGGGGAATGGCCGTGGCGTGGAGGAGGAGGGGAGGGCCGTAACAGGGAGGGCAGGGTGTGCAAGCGCGCGTCGAGGACGGGGACGTCTTCACACGATGCGCTTCTCAGCCCAGGCTCGAGGAATCAACAACGGCACAAACACTCATCTGCTTTCGGAAGTCCGCGCGGAGCTCTTCGGCCTGCCAGGGGGGGGGGCCCGACGACTTTCAGCGCATGATTTTGAAGCGGCTGTTCGCGGCGCCAAGGCGAGACCCCACTTCGAAAAAGGCCCGCCCTCCAGCCGTGAGGCTGGCGTTCGCGTTTAATAAGGCACGTGCTCGGCGCCGAGGCGAGAGCACTAGTTTGAAAAAACCGCCCCCACGTCATCCTTGAAAGCGATTATATGTTTGAACGTGAAATGTTTGAACGCGTTGAGATGTTGAAAGCGGCATCCTTGAACGTGAAAGCGTTGAGATGTTTGAAAGCGTTGAGATGTTTGAAACCGTCCCTTGGCCAGCGGCATCCTTGAAAGCGAATTGGATGTCTGAACGTGAATGCTCGCGGCGCGAGGGCGAGGGCCACAACCTGAACACCTGCCCCTTCACCCTGGATTCAAGTGTGCTAAGGTGCGCGCGGCGCCGAAGCGAAATCCGACTCTCGATCCTTTTTGACGGGGCCCTGGGACACACAGATAAATACACTCATATAACAGGATGCCCCATATTTTTTCTGTATGTTCTGGGTTTTTGTCTTCCCCCCCACTTCCTATAGTTTCACATCTGTTCTGGGGAATCGACGATTAATTGTGCCTGTGTGTGCAGTCTTTCCCTCTTGACCCTTTCCATCCCCCACACAGCTGCAAACTTTGAACAGGATTGCTCGCGGCGCCAGGGCGGGAGCCACATGTTGACAACCGCACCCCCCTCCATCGATGAAACTGTTACAAGCGTGTGCAGCGAATGTGCGCGGCGCAAGGGCGAGAACCACATTTTGAAACCGCCCCCCTCCATCCGCAAAACTGCTGCAAATTTTGAAAACGAATGTCTGCGGCGTTAAAGCGAGAACATGTTGACCCCCTGCTTCCATCAGTGGGACTGTTGAAACCGTTTGATTCGAGTGTGCGCGGCACTACGCAGGGAACCACATGTTGAAAACGACACCCTGCATCGTGTAGCTTCAGGGTCAAATTTGTGGAGAAGTCTCAGGCGAAACGCCCGGCCAACCCTACCGATAAATCTGACAGTGCGACTGGCATGAGTTATCCACAAGGAATGTTAGCCAGCGTGGACACAAACAGCGCTTACCTACAATCTACGCGGTGCAATCTAGGTGGTGTAACCGATGAATTGACAACTTCCACGCCCTTGCAAACATCTCACCCACCCACCCGCAACTTGGTTTGCAAAACCCATGCGGCGGCGATTGCGCTGAGTGCTTGGCGTTGGCTGGTGCATCTCTGCGGCCGCGCTAGCCCGCGCATGCTCGCGTGCACAGCGGCTAGCTAGTTTGGTGCGACCGACGCGGCCGCGATAACGCTGACCGCCGGGCACTTCCCAGCGGGCACTTCAGTGCGAGTCGGTGACTCGGGCGGGCGCGGTATCATGGCGACGCCAACTGCGGCAGACACGATTATGAGAATAGCGATGCTGATGCCGATGGTGGTGATGACGACGGCAAGGCCAATGACGGCGCCGATGGTGATCACGCCCGCCGATAGCGAAGACGATGTCCTCGGGTCGGCGATGAAGGTTTTCGACATGCGCGCGCGGCCAACGCGCGCGAGTGGCCCGCGTGATATTATTTGAAACGGATCGTGCCCCCCAGCACGCGCGCAAGGGCGTTCGAATGAGTTCGACATGCGGCGCGAGAGGTCCGTTTGGTATATGTTGATGAACATTTTGGAGAACCGATGGCTTCCGTAAGAATGCGCAAAACCGCGAGCGCAGGACTGTTCTTTTCAAAACTCATGTTCGAAAACTGAATGTGTTGATATGTTTTCGGGACGCTCGATTATGAAACCCGTACGAACCCTCAGGTGTTTGAAAGATTTCGGCATGCGCGCGCGACGACGCGCGCGTGTGCATGTCGTCTCACCTGTTGCAAGGTGTTTTGGCGGCAGCAAGCGCGCAAGGGCATTCGAACGATTCCGACATACGTGCGCGAGAGGCCCGTCTCGTAGCAACAAATGAACATTTGAAAAAAAAACACTGGTTGTCTGAAGAATTCGCACCAGCGCGGGCGCAGACTTGTTTTGAAAACCCTTGTTGCGAAACTATGGTCATGTGTTTTAGTGACTCTCGGTTTTGAAACCCTGACGAAACCAACGGTTTTTGAAGGATGTCGGCATGCGCGCGCGACGACGCGCGCGTGCACGTCGCCCCATGTTTTGCAAGGGATTATTGAAAACTTATTTCTGTTGATAAACGAGTGCGCACGCAAAGTGTTTTTGCAGAAGATGAGGAGGGGAACCGATACCGGCCTGCCCGGGATGGTGCGAATTTATAGTTGCGATGGACGGTGGGGCAGAATCATATGCAAATTGGAATTTAGAAAAAGGTGGTCCGTTTACCCAGGGGGGTCGATCCTAATACCTTGTTAGACAGGAAAGTCAATGTGGTTTAACCTAGATGGTGTAGTCCACGGGTGGTGCAATCCACTTGCAATGCACAGCAATGGTAAGCAACGCAACGCAAAGCAACGCAAAACAATGCAAACCAATGCAAGCAATGAAAAACCATTGGCGATTGTAAAAGCGGCGCGTAGCATTACAAGGAAACCCTAAGCAACGCAAAGCAATGCAAATCAGCCCAACGCAATGCAATGGAAAACAACGCAAATACCTGACAAGCAAAGCAACGCAACGCAAATTAATGCAACGCAAGACAATGAAACGCAAGGCGAATACAAGTGCAGACACTGCTTGGGGAAGAGGGATGGGCTGGCCATCGCTCGGACGTCCATTCCCTGTGCTTTTTTCGGTTTCGTGCGTGGTTTTTTTTTTTCGCCCAATGATCAAGAATGCTCCTCGATGGTCCTCGCCGAAAGAATAATGAAGGACAAATGCACGCGTCCGAGCGATGCCAAGTGGGGGAAGGGGGAGGCGAGGGAGGCGAGGGGAGGGAGGGAAGGGGGGGGAGGGGGAGGGGAGGGGGGGGAGGGAGGCGAGGGAGGCGATGAGGGAGGGGGAGGGAGGCGAGGGAGGGAGGGAGGGAGGAGGCGAGGGGAGGATGGGAGAGGGGGGCGAGGGGGAGGAGAGGGAGGTTGGGAGGGGGAGGAGAGGGAGATGGGGGGGGGGGAGACGGAGGGCCGAGACGGGGAGGAGCGCCGACCCACCCTGCGACTGCACGGCCCGACTCCCTGAGGAGGAGGAGAAAGAGGAGGAGGGAGGAGGAGGAGGAGGAGGAGGAGGAGGAGGAGGAGGAGGAGGAGGAGGAGGAGAAAGAGGAGGAGGAGAAAGAGGAGGAGGAGGAGGAGGAGGAGGAAGGAGGAAGGAGGAGGAAGGAGGAGGAGGAGGAGAAAGACGAGGAGGAGGAGAAGGAAGGAGGAGGAGGAGGAGGAGGAGGAGGAGGAGGAGGAGAAAGAGGAGGAGGAGGACGAGGGACACAGAAAACCTGAAGGCGCCCGCGCCGGCCTGGTCGGGGCCCTCTCGCCCAAGCAGCGACGAGCAGACGCCCCAGTGGCACCTGCCCCAGCACCGCCGCCGTCGGCAGCGCGACCTTCGCCGTCGTCGCCGCCGTCGTTGTCGTCGTCGCCGCTGTCGCCGCCGCCGTCGTCGTCGCCGCCGTCGCTGTGGTCGCCACCGTCGCCGTCAGCGCCGTCGCTGTCGCCACCGTCGTCATCGCCGTCGTCAACTTCGTTTCCGTCGTCGTCGTCGTCGTCGTCGTTGTGGCCGCTTCGCTCGCTGCGTTTCTGACGAGACGAAGGCAGGAAGGGGGGACATCCGGGTGGGAACGTATCGGGGATCTCTGAGAGCTGGCGGATGTGGAGGATGCATCGGGCGCCGCGGCCGCTTCGCTGCGCTCCAGAACGTTCTAAGAGCAGACTGTAACGCTCTGGAACGATTGATCCTCCTCCTGAGCAAGCCTGACGTTATCCCCCTCGCCGTCGTCGTCGTCGTCGTCGTCGTTGTCGCCGCCGCCGTCACCGTCTATCTCGTCTTCCTCCTCCTCCTCCTCCTCCTCCTCCTCATCGACAACATCGCTGTCGTCAAAATCGCCTTCGTCGCCAGACTAGCTTGGACGAGTCCCGGAGCTTTGCAGCTTTTTCGGAGGCTCCCAGGCTTTTGTGAAGAGTTGCTGGAAGTACTGGCTTCATCTCGTCCAACTCCTCCACCCCTCGTTTACATATCATCCTCCTCGTCCTCCTCATCTGACTGCACCTCCTTCTTGCTCCATCTCAGCCCCCCATTTTTCATGTCCTCCTCCCGCTCCTCCCCCTTCCTGGAGTACATAAAGCACCGTAATCCCACCAGCCCTCTGGGCGTAGGTGGTTTAGAGCGTTTCCTCTTCCACCCCTCCCTCTTCCCCTTCGGGGAGGGGTTTACCCCTCCCCCTACCCCTTGGACGGGTTCGGTCGCGGGTAGTCAGAGCGCCCACAACGGCCTGGGCGAGGAAGCCCAAATCAGTGGTTTTACTAGGGTGTTGGCCTCATTTTGGCCTCTTGGGGGGGCAACGCTAGAATAGGCTCCCCTCTTCTTTGACCAATCTCCTCCAAGATGGTCCCAGGAAGCGCCCAGGAGGCCCCAAGAGGTCCAAAGATGGCCCCAAGATGGCCCCAAGAGGCCCCCAAGAGGCCCCCAGGAGGCCCCCAAGAGGAGGCATCCAAGAGACCTCCGGCTTTTTTGCTTGCCCTCCTCCTCCTGCTCCTCCTTCCTCCTCCTACTCATTTTCTTCCTCCTCCGCCTCCTCCTCCGCCTCCTCCTCCTCTTCATCCTAAGTATTCATCCTGCTCCTCCCCACTCCCTCATCCATCCATCCAGCCTCTTCCTTCTACTCCTCCCTTCTTCGCACGGTTCGGCCGTCCCCCTCTTTGCTCCCGCACTTCCCTGATCACCTCAACTCGCCTGGACATCGGTTCTGGATGGGCTGGTGGGGATACGCTTTTGGTTAGCAGCCGCAGGCGAGAGCGCCGGCGGCGAGTAAGAATAACTGGTGGGGATACTTTTCTAGTCAGCGGCCGCGGGCGAGCGCACCAGCGGCGAGTCAGGTCCAAGGGTCCAAGCGGGCTACGCAGAGACTGATTAGACAGAGGCGACGCGCAAGGCAACAGCTACGCGGCAAGCAAATGGTGGGGATACGCGAAGCGTCTAGAATTGGCGCGTCCTCTGCCAAGCCAGCACTCAAACACACAAACGCACACAGAACTGACTCATGTTTGAGCCACGCTGGCGAGCTGCGCGAGAAGTGGTACGACAGATGGAGTGGTCGGCACTCCCAGTTGCGCGATTTGGGAACCCTGATCCCATATCCCAATAATCTAAAAGTCTGACTTTTACTGTGACCACTCTCCGCTGACCTTCCGCCGGCGGAACCGCCGCAGCGGTACCTTTGACGGTTTCCGCTGGCCTTCTGCCGAAGGCGAGCATACGCTCAAGGCGGGGCCCTTTCTGGAGCGTCGCAGCACCTCAGTATGTGTGCGCGCAGGGAGAGAATGCTGACATACATGTTTTTTTGAGGCAACGGTACTCGGCTTCACGTGGGACTGACCGTTGGTGCACAACTGTCGGGGGCCGCGGTGATGCCGAACCGCAGCGCGCAAGCCGCTGCTGTCGCAGCGCATTCAATTATCTGGGGACCCCGGTGTGTCCGCACCGAAGGTCACGCCAGCGAAAAGTCACTGTTACATATCGCCGAGATATATTCATCAAGTCACCGTGCTTGATCATGATTGTCGACGGTCACGGGAAGGCTTTGGATGTCAACCAGGACACGTAGAAAGCGAATACTGATTGGCACGATCGCGCAGGGTGTTTGCGTCATGGTTCAACTTACGCGGCCGATGCGTCCAAGCTACATACAAGGTCGAAAATGGATGCTAACAGGAAGTTGGAAACACACATGACTGCATCCACATGCGGAACACGCGGAGGCCGCTGGGAAAACATCTGGCCGCGCATGTATATCTCTCTCGCCCGGGCTGGCCGCGTCATGCGACCCGCTCCACAGCCCCTTCTGCGTCCAAACGACGCATCGCTTGGGGGAGCAACTTCTCCTCCCCCCCCGCTTCCACCGACCTTCCGCTGGCTTCCGCCCGTGGACCCGACGCCGCTCCACTTCGGCGGACTCCCGCCGCCCGTCCGCCGCCCTCCGCCGACGAGGAAACATGGCGACTTCCCGACCACTCGCGGGCGGGACCCCCTTTGGAACGCCCCGTGCGCAGCCGTCCTTCGGGGAGCGGCCCCGGCGCCTGCAGCGCCGCTGGCCGCGAGCCCCTGCAGCACCGCATTCGTGACTACCTACCAGACCACCCCAGCCCAACCCGAAGACCCCAATCTCGGGTTGGGGGCGGGGAAACGGGTTCCACAGGTGTTTTTTTCAGTGTCCCCCGACCCCCCCCCCCCCCACACACTGGAAATGGAGGGCAGATGGAGGCCTTCGGGTCGGGTTGGGGTGGTTTTGGTGGGTGGTGAGCGTCTGCGGCGCAGCTGGCCGCGAGCTCCTGCCGCACCGCATTGGGCACGCGCGGGGCCCGAGTGCACCGCGGCCCCCCCGCGCGCCCCGCCCGCGGCGGCGGTGGCGCGGGGCGCTCGCCGCGCGGCCGAGGCGCGGCGGGCGCCCCCTGCGCTTCGCGCCCTAATTGGCGGGCCGCGGCAGCGCGCACCGTCGGGGACGGGCCTCTGTGCTCGGAGGTCATGGTGGACCTGGACGCGTGAAAACAAGCGTTTCGCTCAACTGAAGGGGAACTGGAACACACAAATCAATACACACACAAGTAAACCGATTCCCCATACCTTCCCAGATGTTCTGGATTTTTTTGCCTCCCCGCCCAATTCCCATAGTTTCCCATCTTTTCCTGGCACTCGACGATTGATTGTGTCTGTGTGTTTCTCTCCCTCCTGATCAACACACACCCCTCCCAGGACATCCCCCCCGGGCCCGCCCGCAGCCCGGCGGGTCCCGAAAGTCCGGGCATGCTGTTTTGTTGTTTGTTGTTTTGCTGTTTCTATCTCTCTCTCTCTCTCTCGTCTTCTCGTTTCCATCTCTCTCTTTCTCTCTCTCTCTCTCTCGTTTTTTCCCGGCGGGGCAGGCGATGCATTTCAGCCCGCCCTCAGGCGCAACCGCAAACTACTGCAACCATGCGACGCATTTCAACCCGCCCGCGGGCGCATCCGCAACCCCAAACAAGCAACACAGTTCAACCCGCCCGCGGGCGCAACGGCAACCGCAACCGCAACCGCAACAATGGGACACATTTCAAGCCACCCGCAGGCGCAACCGCAACCGCAACCGCAAACAGGCGACACATTACAACCTGCCCGCGGGCGCAACAGCCCAAGCAGAGGTGCAGGGACACGAGGACGAGGGAGGAGGAGGAGGAGGAGGAGGTCGAGGAGGAGGAGCACGAAAATCAACATGAGGAAGAGAGGGAGCAGGGAGAGAGGGATGGGCAGGACGACGAGGAGAAGAGGGATGCAAGGGTGGTCGTGTGTCAGGGGTTTGCAGGAGCAGGCGCCGGAGGAGGAGGAAACCCGATGGCACGATAGGAAGATTGAGGGCCTGGACGTGCACAAGGAGGAGGCGGAGGCCGATGAGAAAGACGAGGAGCTCCAAGCCTCTGTCTGCGATGCGCGAATTGTCCAAGCTCAACTCAAGCCAGACAAGCCATCAACATACAGTACAGGTCGAAAGCGCACAAGAGGAAAAACAGCAGATCGCACATGCTCCCACCGACGCGCCCCACCTAGTCGAAGCACCGGTCGCCAACTCTCGTGATGCTCTCTCTCTCTCTCTCTCTCTCTCGGGCAGCTAAGCATCCAATGGACCTTGCTCGCAAGCTTCTGGATCTTCGCAATGCCAGGAACGAAATGCTGGACTCTCTGCCCAGATCGGCAGGACGGCTCCTCGCTGTGCTTGACACGTTTGGTCTGGATCGCGTATGGATCGTGTGTGGTCACATTTGGGCTGAAGAGAAATACGCAGATGAACATAGGAAGAGCGCCGAGGCCCCAGTGAAGGCTACGCGTAAAAGCGCACGCATATGCTTCTATCGCTGCGGTGATGAAGGTTCCAACGTAACGACCGCCGGACGTCTGGCACCTGCGATACAATGGGATGGCAATCGCGCACTTTAGTGTCTCGCTTCCTGACCTCTTCCCGCTCACCATTCAGCCTCCGCCTCCTCACTGCCAGCTTCTCTGATCATATCTGGTCCTCTTCCGTCACCCAAGCCAGCAAATTCGCGGGCGGGCCAGAAGCGTGCTCAAGACTGCGGCTGCAGTTCGCTCGCGCGTGGCTGAGGGTCCCCAGACGAGAAGTACCCGGCGAAATACCGAGGAAGGAGGAGAAGGAGGAAAGAGGAGGAGGAGGAGGAGGAGGAGGAGGAGGAGGAGGAGGAGGAGGAGGAGGAGGAGGAGGGAGGGATGCGGAAACCCCTGGGAGCGGCCCTCAGTGCTTCCAGAACGCCCCGGGAGCGCCGCCAGCAGGCGCAAAGCAGATGGCAGGCCCCGCGGCTCCAGGCCGAGAGC